AAAGATAACAGTGACCCAGTTTTCTTACAGCAATTCATTTTTTTTCTAATACCTGCCCAATGACCTCTAGGTTGTTGGCACAATTCTAGAATCACAACGCTGCTGTGCCTTTCCAAATTAGATGGCCCCTACAGTTGGGATCATCTGACAGTCTGTCAGAAAGGTGCATGGCCTGTTGCCCATGGCATTTTATGCTGGCATCACCTCAACAGGTGGAAAAAGGAAAATAAGTGGTTAAAGTTAAATGTTATATTTCATTTATGGCTACATTGCACTGTTCAATCACTTGAGGTATCGTGTTTAGGCATTGTGTATGTTACTGAACTGACACAGAAGTAATCAATTTCACACATGGCCAAGGTAAAAGATTTCCTTGAAACACAGCCGCTGTTTCTGTTGACTTCTTTGTGTCCTGCAGAGGAGCTGTAGTGAACCAGGATGATCTTTATCATGCTCTCTCCAGTGGTCAGATTGCTGCAGCAGGATTAGATGTCACGGTCCCTGAGCCATTACCCACTGATCACCCTCTGCTGTCACTGAAAAACTGTGGTAAGTTCTAACTTTCACCAGGTTAATGGAAGCTGCAGGGACAGAAATCTTATCAGTCATTACAGACCCTTAGTGACATTTATTAATCTTCCTACATGTTGGCTGACTGACTTGAATATTTCAAGTAGTTCCTTTTTTTATTTGGAATGTTTTTGAGTTGGAGGAAATGATGATAGGTCAGTCTTCTCTAAAGCATCTGTATCTTCTCGGTACCTCCAGGCCTGATGGCCCTGTGATGACTAAAAATTGAATAGTCTGGGCTGATACTATTCAAAGGGTTCTCCCAGTATTCCAGCCAGTATTTATCCCTCAACTAACACCTAAAACAGATTATTTGGTCACTTATCACTGCATTAGGATTGTACTATGTGCAAATTAATTGCTGTGCTCCCTACATTTCAAAAGTAATTTGCTCAGAAGATATGAGCATTGCTGGCATGGCCAGCATTTGTTGCTCAGTCCTAATTGTACTGAATGGATTACTAGAGCCATTTTAGGGGACAGTGTGCTGTGGGTCAAAGCACACGCTTGATACACTGGGTAAGTTTGATAGATTTTCTTCTCTAAAGGCTATTGGTGAAAGGAATGAACTTTTGTGACAATTGATGGTAGCTTCATGGTCACCATTATTGAGACGAGCTTTATATTCCACATTTATTAACTGAATTTAAATTGCACCAGCTGCCAGAGTGGTATTTGAACCCTCTTCCCCAGAGTATTAGCCTGGGTCTATACAGTAGTAGTCCAATGACATTACTGCTACGCCTCCGATATACTATCTAGATTTCAGTTGATTGTGACAGTCTTGCCCATGTTTGTTATGAAGTTTTTCACATCTGTAAACATTAAGTGATTGGATGTGTTTGGATTTCTTTTAGATTTCCAAATAAGTCATTACTTGGAGGGACACAAATGTTTCTTGGTTTGGGCTTTGAAATCTGGTGATGTGTTTTCATTTCAGTTATACTACCTCACATTGGAAGTGCCACTTATGCAACCAGAAACACCATGTCTGTACTAACAGCCAACAACCTCCTGGCAGGGCTCAAAGGAGAGCAAATGCCAAGTGAACTTAAACTCTAACTGGATTCACATGGTCTAACATTCGCACATTTACTTATTTCAGAATTTCTGTTCAGACAATGGCTTTTAAGAAGGATACACTTGGAAGTTAGCCTTAAAAGTTTGAGTTTCAATGTTGTCTAAAAATCAAAAAGTGAAATGGATGTGTTTTATAATCAATTTAACTCAGGATCATTCGACTTACTATCCATGGCAAGTATTAATTCTATATCATAGTGATTAACTTATTCATCTGGTTATGCACAATGTGGAAGGTTTGAAGGGGTACGATGTACCATCTTATGACTTTCAGTCTGATGAACTGCCATATTTATGCCATATTGTAATTTAATCATTCATCATGCTACTCAGTTTCTGGTAAACAGTTGATATTCTTTTCCAACAATTCTATCTAATATCTTATTACAGGTTGTTTCTTTAATTGCAAGTCAGAGGTCACATTGACTAAACTAGAGAAGAAAAATGAAAATGTTGACTATTTCAAATATATAGTTTAGATTGCAGCCCTATGACCATGGTATTTAGCCCTGTTCATGTATGAACACCCTTTTCTAAGTCATCCAGATTTCATAGACCTAACCTAATCTTTAACTTTCAACAGTCTGGTCTGCTGCTGGTCACTCTTATTTGATTGCTGTCCAGTCTTGAATTTTGCATTACTTTGTTTATAAATTTCTATTTACTTTGAACTCACTTTTACAATTTGGCCATGTCTTCACAACAATCAAAACCTCATGCCATCCATAAGCTTTTAAAGAGCTTAATTTGTCTTTCATGTCTTGAATGAATTGTGATCAGAAAGTATTTTTCAAAATATTGTATAAACACTCCTATCAACATTGCTTACTTGGCAGACATTTGTACTGTAAGCATTAAGTCTGACAACATTAAAAAAGTTGAATCTGAAACACACTGGTGTCACTCATCGGTATATTAAGCATTGTTTGTTACATGTTTGTTACATACACATCCTACAGTGCAGCTATAAAGGTTGTCTAGTACATTGTGAAACGTCAATATAATCTGTCACAGACAGTGTTCCGACTGCATACTCAAGCAATTCTCCGGTATCCTGCTGTATATTTCCAGAATTTATTTTGATTATTTCAGTTGCAACTTTTAAAATATTCTCATGATCAAATCAAATGACTTTAATAGCAAAGAAAATGCTCCGAGTAATTTCTATGATGTTGGTATTTCCTCATTAGGAAGTGTCACAAATCCTGTACCAAATTATATAATTCATTCCAAGATATCTTGTGTTGCAATTTTAAACACTGTTCTTGATTTACTGAGTCAGTTGTATATTTATTTATAACATGTTGGTTGTCAATTAGTTTTATCCTGAAATTCCCTTATTTGCACTTAAATGAAGTTTGAATCATTTTTTAAATAAACAGTTTCACTCTGGGTCTGACTGCACTATTAGTCTGGCCGTCCCCACAACTTAAACCAAATTAGTGAGAAGGGTGAGGAATAATGCTAACATACCTCCAAACTTGTGTTGTTGTTTGTCAAGTCATGGGTTTAAGCCTTATTTAAAAACTTGAACACATCAAGGTTGTCATATGCCTTTCCAATGACAAACTCTGTCCACCACTTGGGTGGATCTAAAAATCTCATGATGCTATTAAGATCAAATGTTCTCCCAATATTTAGCCGTCAACCACTACCACTAGTCATTTATCTAATTGCTCACTGAGACCTTAATAAGCAGGAAAAAAAAAATGCTGTTTGCACAAAAGATCAGCATTTATTACCGGTTATTTTGTATATAAAGATGACAGTCATTTATAGTCAAGTTCCAGAAGTGGCAATGGGCTGAGTGACCAATTAATCTGCTTAACCATATTTGTTGGAGGATAAAAGATAGTACTCCCTTTATGGTTCACAAAGCATAGATTACCAAAAACAACAGTCACCTCCCCTTTTCCATCACTTTAGCTCAGTCATCTTTTAGTTTACCTTATATTGGGAGCCATTTATTAGCTTTTACTTGACACAGATAAAGGATACAAGATGCGTTTCTAATCAACTTCAAAATATCTACACGGAAGCCTGAACTGGGAAACCTCAACAGTTGTAGGACTGTTTTTTTCCACCTGAAAATTTGTGTAATACCTACCAATTCCATTGTATGCTGAGAAATACCATTTCTTACAGCAGAGGTCATGTATTGCACAACAGTGCATAGCAGGGTTCCTTAAAAAGCACATGAATAATAACATGCTTAAATTTAAGTCTGTCTGGAAACAATGGAGACTGGGTCAAAGCAGGAGTTGAATACAAGACCAAATGTTTTGATTATGTGGCTTATTTTAAGATCAATCTTGATGAGGGAATTCTGTTACACAACTGAAGGCACAATTCCACATAGGGAGAGGTGATGAGGAATGCCTAAGAAACCAATGTCAGTTTGGTGACAAGAATCATAGTAGGTTAGAGAGAGACAGGAAGGGACAAGATGCTGCAGGAATTCAAACCACCTTAAACAAGGCTTTTCAGGAACAAGGAGTCAATGTAAATTAGCAGGAACAAAGGTGAACGGTGAGTAGAACAGGAAACTGACAATTTTGAATAAGCTCAAGTGTATGACAGCTGGCAGGTTGAAAGCTAAACAGGAAAGATTGATTGTACAAAGATATGGAGTCTAAGGATCAACATAGTTGTGTTACAAATTAGCCATGATCTAAATGAATGACAGATTGGACTCAACATTGAATGGGCTATAGCTGCTCCTTGAAACTTTGGTTCGAACACGAACAAAGCATGTATTACTCAATCAACACTGCAGATTAATTAGACATTCATCTCATTACTGTCTGAGTTTCTGCTACACAAACTGGATGAGACAAACTTGGCAGCCAAGTAACCGTAGTTACTTGGTGTGAAGCACTTTGGGGGATACAAGACAATGAAATCAAATGCCCTGTTCTGCAATTTCACTTCTCAAATAACTTGCACACCAAACGTCACAGTATTAGATGTTAGAATAGTAGGGCATTTCCTTTTTTTTAAAAAAAAATCAATTAGCTAACACACTGGGAGCTGAGAATCTGCAGGTTCTACAATACTATTGCAATAATAAACTGTTAAACCATTCTTATCACATTGATAAATCAATATTTACACTAAACTAATGCAATTTAGAATAAATTCACACTCCATTTAGTGAATTAGATAATTAAATTTAAACTCTCATCTTTACTTGAATGATTTTTTCCTTCGTTTTACGAATTTGAATGTGGTAAAGCAAGTCAGATATCCTGTGGATAGCATCATGATATTTGACGATTTACACTACCACTATGTAAAGCATCTCATTGTAAAAGAGCAGATCTGAAATAACATTGTCTACAAATTGAAGGTTTTAGTGGACATGAATTTTTTTATTCATTACAGTATATTGACCTTTTACAGAGACTGTATATAGTGTACAAAATTACTTTATACTACACAAGTATACTTTGACAGTGTTTTCACCATTATTCCTCTAGTCCCATTCCATTGCAGTTTTTTGGCATTTCAGTTGAGTCAGGATAACTGGTAGTGTAAGGCTCTTCACACAACCTAGTCGAATAAATATGCCTTTCACATTATTAAAAGTTCTGAGAAGCTGAAACAGAGGATTCATACAACTGAAACTTTGGATGGGCTGAAGAAAGGTGCTGCTGTTCAGCCTGATCTTCACATTGTAATTGAGAACTTCCATCTCTAAATACTGAAAAATGCCAACATGAATATTTCTTGACTTGTAATAAAAACACTTATGGGGCTCTCCACAGATTTACATTTTCTCCTTTGTGGTTAAAAGAAAGATTTTAAATGTTCATAAGGACAGCACATATTCAGAGTGCTGTGTGCTAATTAATGCCAACTTTTAACAGAACCATTTTGTTAAAAACCCGTAGAGAACACATTGGCATCCATAAACTTCAAATAATATCCTGAAAGACTGTGTTGCACTTACAAGTCTGAGTAAATATTCCAGACCGAAAGTATTCTGTATAACTGACCAGTGTAGTCATTATCTTACATAATCAAAAGTACTGCCTCAAAAGTGCAATTTATACACCAAAATGCACAGTATTTAGTTTTACACGACAGGCTCTCAGATTTTGGTAATGAAGACCATTCCTTCGAAAGAACGTTGGACAAAATAGGTTAGTGACTGAAAATTTTCTTAAAATTTTGGATGAATAGTTTTTGTGCTTGTGAAAGGTAGATTGAAATATTTTAATATGTCTGCACCTAGTAACAGATTCAAATCATTCACAACAGACTGATCTTCAAAGCAGCATCTTGTCCACGTCTGATGCTGTTTGGTATACTGAAAGGGACGTTGTGATATGGCACACCAAGAGGAAGATAAGCTTTAAAGTAAAAAGGATCAGCAGTGGATTCAGGAGCTCAGAACCAGTAGCAAGAGCTGGAAAATTAGGAAACTATTGGCTCATGAAGAAACTGAATGTATGCATGTATTATTTGCCCTTCTGACTGGTCAAACTGTGCCTGGTGCAAGTGATATAGCTTACGCTTAGAAGTCACATGGGATTAAAAAAAAAAAATACAGGTCTCCCCATGCACGTCTACAAGTTCAATAAGTTGTTACACAAGTATGCCCCTGTCCAACACCATTAAAGAGATAACGACAAATCATAGACAATTCTGTGCCATCAAACAGTCCGAAGGAGGTTCATTTCACTTCTGGTGAACCAGATTCCAGGATAGTTCTCTTTATTTATTATCTTCATTTTGCAATACTTTACACATTTGAATGTTTCTTTTAACATTTCTACTGGACGACTGCCTTCGGCTGGTGATGGTGCTAGATAGTATAGGAATACCATTTTACAGAACTGAAAGGTGAGGATTTGTTCTTAAACATTTCATGCACTTATCTTGGATGAGTCCTCCTGCACAATGGTGTGGTTATTAAAGGTTTGTTCATTGGTAGATGGAGAGATTGAAACCTCTACCATCCCACATAAATACTGAGGTTCCCAACGATTGACAAAATTAGGTTACTGGTTTCTTTCTTTAATTTAAATATTTTTAAGAAATAAAACACAAGCTAAACTTTTGAAAGATACACAAACTGACAACTCTGTACTAATCACTTGGCAGATTTGCATTATTGTGCAACTACCAAAACAAAACTGCTTAAGAGCATATAAAAGTGCAGTACATATATACAGTTACTAAATTCTACAAAATTTAAAGTTGCTCAACTCAGCACCCTACTGACACTTTGCTGTTAATTAAGTGAAAAGTCTTATTTTCTTCTTTAATTTTACAAACCACCTTGTTTTAAAAAGATCTAAAGATCCTTCAGAGACATGAAAATGGTCATGCTGAAAGTCTAATCTCAAAGTAGAGTAGTTGGCAAGCTGCTGCCATGCCATCTCAAGCAGGTTGTTTTGGAATGCTTGTACAAGTGGCTCGACTGACTGAATCTTTTCCCACATTTTAAACAAGCGTAGGGCTTTTCTCCTGTGTGGACACGGATATGTTTCTTGCAATCTGTTAATGTTAGAAAAGTCTTGCAGCAAATTTTACAGGCATATTTACGGGCACCTTCCACCACTAAAACATTGTGTTCTGACATGGCTTTTTTACACTTTGAAAGCACGTCTGCCGATGCCCGTGTCAGCTGGGGAGGACCTGACTGCATAGAATGATTATTTTCAAAAGCAGAAACGGTACTGTTCAACATTCGGATCTGGGAGTTCGAACCAGTGTCCTGGGAACCAGAGCCTGCATCTCCAACTGAGGTAACAATGGGCATTTTAGGGGCAATGCGACGATAACCTGGGAATTTGCTGGCTCCTCCTCGCGATGAAATGATAGATTGTCTGGATAATGAATGCAATCCAGAACTAGGTCTAGGAAAATCTAATCGGAATGGTTCTCCCCCAGCTTTGTAGCCGGAAGGCTGCCCACAGGACAGCCCCAGCAAGTCATGCATGGGTCGCATAAAATGAGTATCGGAACCATCAGTAAATGGATTCTCCAGCCGAGCCGCAGCAATTGAAGAGTTGGCTCCAGCAGAAATGCCAGGCACTGAACTCATTAAATAAGTAGCTTCATTTTCTATTCTGCCATCGCTTGTTGTGTTGGGAATGTTGTCATCAGTGTTCTGACCCCCACTGTAGCTGTTTGTTCGGTTCTTATTCAAAAAGGTGGAAATGTGAAAGGGGGTTTTTGAGTCAGTGTTCGCAGATTCTAGCATATGTATGTCAGTGACCCTGTCAGTACTGGACTGAGGATCAGAGAAACTCCGGTCACTACTCTCTGGGCTAAGCTCCAGTTTCTCTGCACCAGGCATTCCTCCTTCCACCTCTACTGACTCACTACCTTCAGCCTGTGAGGCAACATCACTGGCCTCATCCTGAGGATCAGGTGAGCTCAATGGTTCAGCTTTCACAACAATTCGGACCTGCTCCTCACTTCCATTCACATGAAGTTCTGTGGTCTCAGAGTGGAAATCTGACTTCTCATTAGCAGAATCTTGATTAAAAGCAGTTTCAACATGAGTTGCTTGAGAAGCCATGGATGTTTCAGAATGGCCTACTGCACTGTTGTCTGACTGACTGGGTACCTGGTTATCTTCTGGAGTGCTAAAGGCCTGCTCAAATATGATAGCACTTTCCACATTGTTTTCAACAGTTGCATCAGTTTTGGAACCATCTCCCAACTTCAGGGAGTCTGGTGTAAATAATTCCTCACATGTGTGCACCACGGCTTGCCCATTATCTGATGTTTCTTCGGTGATGATAGACTCATCCACCGAAGGTCTCATCCTCTTCTTTGATCTTTCATCAGGAATGGCTTTCCTTTTCTGCAATCGCTGGACAGGAAATGCAGTCGACTGATCCTCCAAGTGATGGCGAAGTGATGAGTTCACATTGACTTGCTCATCTATTCCCTGACTAGAGCTGAGGGCAGAATTTACTAAGCTCAAACCCAGCTGCTGAAGCAGGAAGGACCTCTGCATCCGAGCATTTTGCTCCTGAAGCCTTTCGCTTGTAGGAGACATGGGTACAGTCCTCGTTGTTAAGTAATGTTTGCAAGCCTTAACAACCGAATTCAGGTGAAGGTGGGAAGCTGCGAGCAGCACATCCATAACATTACTCTCCCCTAGCATCAGTGTGGATGTGTACATCATTTCAACAAGGGCGGCAAAGGCTTCGGCTGTAACTACTTCACTGTCCAGCTGAACCATGTTCAGTGACTGATCACTCTCTGGAACAGTAAAGAGAGCACGAAAGTGGGTACTGCATGCTGCAAGCACAGAGCGATGGGCTTTGAAATGACGGCTTCCAACAACAATCACACAGTCACAGAGCTGTCCATGAAGCCGCTGATAGTTCAGCTGCTGGAAGACTTGTTCAAAATGCCCTGGAAAATCCATGATCCTGTTAAAAGAGAAAGAAAGCCAGTGATAGTTTTTTTTCCTTCTTCCCCCATTTGTAGCAGTCATCATTTCCCAGTTAGTAATTTTTCTTTGGTTACAAACAAATCTCGTCACAATCATATAATCGACTTGCAGTTAGTTAGTTCATGATAATGGCGAATGCATTAAAACTACAGGGTGGTCTTAGCCTAAAGCATTCCTTATAAAAGTATAAATTTAATCATAGCAAATACTTACTCATTTCATTTCATGTACCAAGTTTTAAAGCGAAGGATTCCACTCACTGACTACAGTTGATTGCAATAGCAAAGCTATCAGCAGCTTGCTACTGCCCGATCACATTATCATAATGCTTGCTATTGGCCAAGATGGCACAGAAACAAAACAACTGATTCTCCGTTTCACAAACATGCACAATAACTATCAACAAGAGAAAGTACTTATCCGTTTCTCTACACTAGTAACTCCTTTTATGAAATCTAATTTGGAAAAGCTGCATCTTGATTGGGCACCGTTGAATGTTCACTACCTGAGTCACACTGCACGAAGTGTTATAGCATCTGGAACATTTCTGCCAGTATTTTAAATGATATTTTCCCTGTTTGCAGTCAGAGACACCAGAGTTTTTCCTCATGTACACTCAGTCAAATGCAATTATGTTCATCTGCACTTTTCAGCCAATATTAAAGAAGTTAAATTTATTACAACCAAACTAAAAAAAAGCACTACAGCCGGTCACAATTGTATTTTTTTAAAACTTCTTTTAAAATTTACAAATCAGCTCAGCAGCAGCTGCAGCTAACCAGAACTATGAGGTGGCCTCTTCCAAGCGGTCACAGTAATGACTCTAAACAGTCAATAATGTCTCAAGAATCAGACGTTCTCAGTACATTCATCCTCTTCATGGAACAAAGCAGTTAGCACAGGAACCAAGCATGACACCAAGGTAACAGCACAAGGGGTTACTTATTAGCTTCGAAAGAGGATTGGCTAACCAACAGAAAGCAGAGGATGACTGCTTAGCATGTCCATGCTCAGGGGAACAAATCCAGAAATTGCTGTCAATGATTTTATGATTCTCTAAGTTTGCAATGTTGAAGTCCTTTCCTCAGGATCCAGTCAACTGGAAATCAGTGAACTCACGAGAACATCTACAGGTGGTTCTGCTATAATGCTTGTTTCGTTAATGCGAATTGGATGTAATGCAATTGATGAATAGTGGATGCTGTTTGCATTATGCAAACTTTCTGCTGTTCAGGTATAGCGATTTCCCTATAATGCGATTTTCTATAGCACGAGGTCACACAAGAATGCAATTATAGTGTTATAGGAGAACTACCAGTACTCTTATTCTCATGGTTTTGAAACAAAACCCCTTGAAAAAGTTCGTTACAAGGTCTTCAAAAAGTAGATAATGAGAGTCCAGAGGCAGTATGTTCCTGTTAGTGTGAAGGACTGGGCTCATAGGTATAAGGAATGATGGATGACTAGACAAATTGAGGCACTGGTCAAGAAAAAGGGGGCATATGGCAGGTATAGACAGCTGGGATCAAGTGAATTCCTCACAGAGTATAAGGGCAGTAGGAGTATAGTCAACAGGGAACTCAGGAGGGCAAAAATGGGTCATGAGATAGCTTTGGCAAATAAGGTTAAGGTGAATCCAAAGAGATTTTACAAATACATTAAGGACAAAAAAGTACTGAGAGAGAGAATAGGACCGCTTAAAGATCAACAAAGCCACCCATGTGTGGAACCACAGGAGATGGGAGAGATACTAAACAAATATTTTGTGTCATTATTTACGTTGGAGGATATGGAAGCTAGGGAACTTGGAGAAATAAATAGTGATATATTGAGAAGTGTCCATATTACAGAGGTGGTGTTGGTGCTGGACATCTCAAGAATATGCATAAAGGTGTTTAAATCCCCAGGACCTGATCAGGTGTATCCTAGAATTTTGTGTGAGGCTAGGGAAGAGATTGCTGGGCACCTTACTGAGATATCTGTATCATCAATAGTGAGATAGTGAGGTGACAGAAGACTAGAGGTTGGCTAAATATGGTGCCATTATTTAAGAAAGGTGGTAAGGAAAAGCCAGGGAACTACAGACTATAGGTGGTTGGCACTTTGTTGGAAGGTATTCTGGGGGACAGGATTTTCATGCATTTGGACTGATTAGGGATAATTAACATGGCTTTGCGAGCAGGAAATCACGTCTCACTAACATGATTGAGTTTTTTGAAGTGACAAAGAAGATTTTTGAGGGCAGAGCGATGGACCTCAGGAAGACGTTTGACAAGATTCCACATGGTAGACTGGTTAGCAATGTTAGATCACATGGAATCTTGGGAGAGCTAGCCATTTGGACACAAAATTAGCTTGAACATAGGAGACAGAGGGTGGTGGTATGAGGATTGTTTTACAGTCTGGAGGCCTGTGACCAGTGGTGTGCCGCAAGGATCAATGCTGGGTTCCACTGCTTTTCATCTTTATATAAATGTTTTTCATTTTTATATAGATGTGAATATTGGAAGAATGATTAGCAAGTTTGCAGATGACACCAAAATTGGTGGACAATGAAGAAGGTTACCTCAAAGTACAACTGAACCTTATCAGATGGGCCAGGAGTGGAAGATGACAGTTTAATTTAGATAAATGAGGTGGTGCATTTTGGTAAGGCAAATCAGGGCAGGACTTATACACCTAATGGCAGGGTCCTGGGGAGTGTTGCTGAACAAAGAGAGCTTGGAGTGCAGGTTTATAGTTCCTTCAAAAGGTGAAGTTGTAGGAAGACAGGGTAGTTAAGCAGGCCATTGATCTATGTTGGCAGTTCTATTCAGAGGTGAGCACAATGGCTTTGCCACTGACTGCAAACTCTAGCCCAATAGGCAATTCATTAGCCCATGTTGATAATCTGAAAATACCTCAGCTATTATACTGCAGAATCTTTGAATACAGATGTTTCGATTTAAAAAAAAAGACTCCTTATTCCTCCAGCTCCACATTTATCTCGGACTCCAGCATCGGCAGCTCTTACTATCTCCTTATACCTTTCTGGTTTTAAAATTGTGTGGGCGGTCTTTTAGTCAGACTCAGAAGTATAGTACCAAAAACAGAAATTGCTGGAGCTTTTCCAGCAATTTCTGTTTTTGTTTCTGAGTTACAGCATCTGCAGTTCTTTCGGTTTCTATTCAGAAGTGTGACAGTAAGGGGACTCACAAACATTAGAAAAAAAACAGCAATTTTATTATTTCATATTATTATACAAAGACAAGGTACATTCATTGGAAGAAACTGGAAGATAATAAGTCAAACAAAAAGCAAAAAACACTCCAGTGGTGAAGATCTAAAATAAAAATAGCAAAACAGCAGGTCTGGAACCATCTGCGGAGAGAGAAACAGAGTTAACATGAAGTCTGAAATGACTCTGCTTCAGTATAGAGCAGGAGGTGGAAATATGATCCATTTTATATTGTTGAAAAACAGGAGAGGTGCAAATGGACCAGAAGTAAAGGTCAGGGACGGCAAGAGAGCAAGGGAGTTTGGAGATCAAAGGAGTCATGTAGCAAAAGGCAAAAGGGAATGTAAATGAATGTAAAACAAAAAGCACAGATCCAAAAGTACACGTTAACAGAAGGAGAAATGTCAGTACCAACTGTAAGCAAAAGCATTAAAAACAAGATACAGACATGTGGGGCTAGATCTATCAAAATGGAAGACTGAATTCATTGTCTGAATTTAATCGGACTGAATGTTCAGTCTAAAAAGGTGTAAAATGCCTCAAGTGGAAAATGAGGTGCTTGCATGGAGCTTCAGTGGAACATAGCAGCAAACCTAGGATTCAAAGGCAAGTGTGAGAGCAAATGATACAGTAAATGTTAAGTAACCATAAGGTCAGGGTTACCCTTGAGGACTGAGTAGAGATGTTCATAAAGCAGTTGACAATAACGGTTATTCTGCCTCTCCGTTTGCCGCGAAATAAAGCAGTTTAGTTATTTGTATTTGGCTTCGGCTTTAGCCTGAGAATTTGTTGCTCCATAGTTTTATTATATCCTTGAGGTTTACTGCTGTATCATTAGAGAAGGGGTAGTACAGAAGCATCTCTAAACTGAAGATACTCTGCACATTCACAGGCATGATTAGCAATCCTTTGGGATAGATACCTTAGATTGCCTTTTAGATAGTGTATTAAGCACATGGAGCTGCAGATATCACTCCATGTCAGAAGAACTGGCTTCTGTATATTGTAGAATTTTTGTACAGCAATATTTTACAAAGATTTAATCTCCACAAGCAGTTGAGATGATCACCTGCTATTTTGTATTTTGAAAATAAAATAAATCTCACGACAAGCAATTCGTAATAGAGCTATATTTAAAATAGATCAGTATTTCTTGCAAGATTCATTGCATTTTATGTAAGTGATAAACAATGAGCCTTATATTAACCCTACTATCACAATAACCAATTCTATTGCTGCAGAATAAATATTTGCCCAAAATGTCTGATTTCAGGCAGTTAAATTATATATCTTTTACAGAGTGTACAAATCACACAACTCAAACTAATATTCAGCCCACATACACAAAACACTATGCGCAGTTTCCTTCTAAAATCTGTACAAATTCTGCAATGACCTTTACAAAATTATTCATCTAGTCTTTGTTCAGATCAGTGCATCGAAATCACAGCAGCATAACTTCTAAACAGCTGCTTTCTTCACCTCATTCTGAAGCATTTACTAGAGACACATGTACAACTAATATAAAAGGAATACTGACCGTTACTTTGGTAATAAATCATTAACACACACACACACTCCAATTACTATGGTGCTGCTTATAGCAAGTCAGTATACCCTGCCTTATTTAGATTATCTAGGAGATTCTGATAGCGAGTAAATACGTCAGACAATTTTACCAACTGGCATTTGGGATTTTACGGCAATTTGCCGAGATGTAGACTTGAACAATTAGGATGGATAAATGGTTTCGTCATTCA